CCCAATTTTCGGTATTTTGGGGTTCTTGAGCAAATCTCTTTGGTAACAATTCTCTCTACCAAAAATTATTAATATTCCCCCCCCCTTTTTGGGGTAGTCCCCATATAACCCCCTTTTTATATTAAAATAGTTATCTGATTTGTTCCGCGTTTTGAGTTTGGTTCTAATACTCTTTTGTAATCATTTCACCTGCGGAGGATAGCGAGATAAAAAATTAGAACTTAAGGTTCGATAATGAACTATAGCCGCATTTAGACCTAGTCCCTGTGTGGAGGTTTCAGAAGGAGTGGACCGATATTCCCCATCCTCGAATTTGAATTATCAATTAAAAATTTCTGAAATTTGTATTATTGTTTACATAATCCGTTCTTAGACATGTCGGTATAGATCCACCAAGAAGTGGTGGATCTATATTTTCAATTCTAGTACCTGTCAGTATATCTATGGTGGAGGGTATCCAAAGTTCGGCCCGGCCGAACTTAACGCTTTTTCACTGGTTTTCTATTTGTTCTACGCACATAAAAAAACACACAAGAAAATGTCGGTTGGTTGACCCAGAAAACTCTTTGGATAAAATAGGACAGGACAAATTAAAAAAAAGACCAAAATGTTCACACAATTCGGAAGGTCTTCCTAATATTAGCAATGATGCCTAAAGCCATTTCTATTTGAAGTCGCGTGTATGACCGACCTATTGAGGTTTTTATTTCAAAACATAAATATCGGAGGCTCCCATTTTTTACCACTAATAATAAATACTACAAAAGATAATGAAGGGTGAATTGTTAAAAAATTTAATTCTGGTTTTTTTATTTAACATTTAAAATTTTATTTTGCCTCTGAAAATTACGTAGGTGACCGCGGAAGTGTCCCTATGTAGCTTTTGGGGTACAAATCTTTGATATTGTCTAACAAACTATTTTCTATATTATTACATAAAATGTAACGACGCTGCATCCACTTTATATGGATTTAGTGTTTAGTTTAATATTTCATAATTAATTTACATGGGAACTTAGTTGTCATTGTTGTTCTTATTAATTAATTTTTCTCAAATTGCTGAGTATTCAATTTTAATTCGTACGAAAAACACTTCAACAGTGACTGGACAAATAAAGAAATAACAATTCGTAATAATAATTTGTTGCCTTTAATATTTCAATATTTATTTTGTAATCGATGTTTATTCTGATTAAACAATAGCAATGCATACATTAAAAATATCTATGTATATTAGTGATTAAACTATTCTCATATTTATATTACGTTGGAGCTAACAAATTTAAGTTATAAAATCGAAATTGGGAAGGGGAATTTTAAAAATCTATAAAACCCCCAATTAAATGATATCTTACCAATTTAAATTAACAGTGAGGTCCACATTTCAATTCGCCATAATAACGTAAGACATCAACATTAATAAAAAATGCCCCTTTTTAGGTTTTTCATTTTATTGACGTCACACATCCTTAATTTATATCAACATAAATACGCCATATCTTTTTATAATTTGCAAAAGCGTCAATAATGATTTCCTCTTCCTATACCACATTCCATTACATTTACATATGTCGGTATGCGTAAATTGTTAATATTTAATAAAAACTGGTAAAAATATCCATACTGCATGTGTCCTTCTGCTGATTTAAGTTCTGTTCTGCTTATTTTCACAAAGTAACCCCCAAAAAAAATTTACATCATTCCGATATTCTGTATTTATGTGGTCGGAACATGCAAGGTTCTTATTTCTTGTGAATATGCGTGACGTCACAGTAATAAAATCATGTCAATCAGACAACAAAAATAACAACAACAAAGACCAAGGCAAAAAAATGTATAGTTCATTCTTTTCATAATAAATGAAATTGGGCATAGTTGATGAGTTGGGAAAAAATAAAAACCAGAGGAAATTTTCCCAGGTAAGAATGAGTCTGGGAGAAGAAAGAAAAAAAGGTTATAGCCACAACCTTATTTATCATTATAATGTGGGAGGATGTAGATGAAATATTTAAATTTCGAGTGATTTAATATTTGTTCATTTATAAAAAAGCAAAGACTCATTGAGTCGGTTTATAGTTGTAAGGGGTGAATACTTTTAAATCCATGGGTTAAATGGAACAAAAATTTAGCAAATATATTTAGCATTCGGTTTTAGCCTTGTTCTTAATAGAAAATGTTTGTTATTTCAAGCACTATTTTCCATCGAATTGACTGTAACTTGAATCTTCATTAAGTAGAAAATATTTCGTCTAAAATTATCAATATTGGCAATAGTTACAAAGTGGCGCCCAATATGAAGTTACAGCATTTATTCGGTATTTTGCGGATTTTACACTCGTTTTTTTAACTAAATTGGCGGTCTTTTTGGTTATCATTGGGTTACAAATCTTACTACCGAAAATGGAATATATTGGTCCAAGTTTCGGGGTAGTTCCCATATAACGGTACCTCTTAAATGTAGGTATTTGGGGATTCCGAGGATGTTTATCAACCAAATTGGCTATAATTTTGTATTTTTTGATTTTCTATGAATAGAAAAAAACCTCACTAAAAATTATCTATGTTGAGCAAAGTTAAAATTTGGCGCCCAATGAATTGTGTGAATTTTGACTATGTTTTTCAACCAAAGGTTTCTATTGTGTAGAAAAACTCCACACTGAAAATTATCAATTGGCACATTTTTTAACGAAATGTACTGTAATTTTATATTTTGGATCTTAATTGGTTCCTACCAAAAAGTATCGACATTGGTCACAGTTATATAGTGGCGCCCAACATAACGGTACCCTACATTATTCGGTATTTAACAGATTTTGGACCAATTTTACAGTTGAATTGGCGATAATTTGAATTTGATAATTTAACTCTTTACCGAAAATTATCAATATTTACCTCTGAAATTTTTCTGATTTTTGCAGATGTTGGATACATTTTTTTAACCGGATTCGATCTAATTTTGTTTTTTGATCTTCATTGCGAAGTCACCTCACCAAAAATTATCAATGTTGTCCAAAGTTACAGAGTGGCGCCCAACATAACGGCACTCCCATTTATTCAGTATTTTGTGGAATCTGGGCATTTTTTAACCGAATTGAGTATTTTGGGTTCTCATTAGTTAGACAATTTTGGCCAAAGTTACAGAGTGGAGCTCAATATAAGCCCATTGTTCGTTATGTTTCGGACCTAGAGCACATTTTTAAACCCTGTTCGGCTTTAATTTAAAAATGTAGGGTTCTACTTGAGTGTCAAATCTTCCTACCACTAGACAATTTTTTGGAGCTCAATATAAGCCCATTGTTCGTTATGTTTCGGATCTAGAGCACATTTTTAAACCCTGTTTGGCTTTAATTTAAAAATGTAGGGTTCTACTTGAGTGTCAAATCTTCCTACCACGCTACCTCTAGCGTTACCTAAAAAATGGTAGGAAGAACTACTACGATGTTTTTTTTTTATTTTGAGTTCTCATTGGATGTCAAATCTTCAAACCAAAAATTGTCAATATTTGTTCACTATTTTAAAGTAACCCCCCATATTCGGTATTTTGCCGATTTCGATCCCACTATTTAAACGATTTGACTCTTATTCGATATTTTGACATTAAAATTTATAAATATCGGTCAAATGTTTGATTTAGCCCTCCTGTATATAGGTCCAGCTCCTTTTATAGGCATTTTTATGGTCCATGGTAAATTTTCCAACTGACTATATAGAGCATTACAATGTGACTATAATTTGATTATCCGGATCTTGGCGTATATAAGAAAGATTTAAAAGAATTTTATTTCAATATAAGTTCACGATTCTACATAGCCTCCATACAAATGTCAGGAGTCTACTTCGATACGTTCCAGGTCCCACCCAACTTTTCAAACCTGAGTGTCAGTTGTGTAGGTTTTCATGTTCTCCTGGTAGAAATTTACCATAGTATAACCTCCATATAAATATTTTGTCCTTTTTTGGGTACATTGAATGTCCACCTAATGGTGTAGGTTATAAAAACTGACGCCCTTACCGTTTTTTTTAACCTTTTTTATTCATTTTTCTATTTTGTAACTTTTTGTAATTTTTAAAATTAAATACCAAATATCTAATATTTTTTTCATTTTCTATTTTTTTCTTATTGCAGATCTAAAACTTCGATCATTTTGAAACAAAACGATATACACACTTGTTAACGAAAATGGATATAAGCTCAAAATCGACAGGATTAGTAGCAACGTTGTTTAGTAGTTGATGGCAAATAAGAGTTGAAAGTGTAATTTAAACATTCAAAATAAAAAATAATTTAAATTAAAATAATAAAAAAAATATAGAAAAAACGATATTTATAATTAAAAAATATAATAATCATTAAAATATAAATTAATTATTTTTTATAGAATAAAAAATATTTTGCAAGATATAAAAAAAGAAAAACAAAATCAATCGCTTCCAATAACTTCCAAAGCTTTTTACAAAACAAAAATATTTTTTTTAAATATTATTACAACAAAAAACTCACGCACATACATCAACATTTTGTTCTTTGTAATTACAACTTAAAACGCTTCTTCCTAAATTAAAAAAATAGAAACGAACAAAAAGAAAAAAAACTAATATATAAATATTTAATAATAATTATAAATTAAATAATAATTATTATTAACAAAATAACAAAAATATTGTGTAAATGTTTAAAGGCGTTGTGCATATAAAAATAAAATTTCAATTAAAAAATATATTTTTCAAATCTACATAGAAAAATAATTCTCAAATTATTTGAATCCTATAAAAACGAACAAAAAAAGTAAACAACAATAACAACATAACCATCCATCTTTAGAGCCATCCATCCAATCAAAACAACCATCGATCTTTAGCAACCATAACCTAGCATCAAGTTTCGACTGCAACACAGCAAAATGTCAGATAACAATTCAAATTCGAATAACGTCACCACCTCAAATACCAACATCATCACCTCAACCACATCGAATTCCAGTTCGAGTTCGACCTGTAATGTTGTTGGTGGCCCCACCACCATGATGAACGGTCACATCGGCACCCATTTCACGTCGAAAAACAATTTCGAAAACTATAGCACGTCGAAGGACACATATTTGTCGATACCACAATTCTATGCCGGCCGCAGTGTATTCATAACCGGTGGTACCGGTTTTATGGGAAAGGTGAGTTTTTTTCGGTTTTATTTATATTATATAAAAATTATGAATGTTGGCCAAAGTTACAGAGTGGCGCCCAATATAACGCTCTTCCGTATTATTCGATAATTTGTTGAAACTGAATATTTTTTTAACTGAATTAGCTTTGTGTGTTCTCATTAAGTAGAAAAATCTTCCTACCAATATAGTCCAATGTTACAGGGTGGCGCCCAACATAACGGCACCCCACATTATTCGGTATTAGCGTATTTTGGTCAAGATTTCAACTGAATTGAATCAAATTTGACATTTTGAGTTTTCATTGAGTGAAAAATGTGGATACCAAAAATTATCTATATGGGCAAAAGAGTGGCGCCCAACATTACGGTGCCCCACATATTCGACATTTTGTGGATTTTTGTCGTATTTTTAAACCGAATTTTGGGTTCTCATTAGGTAGGAAATTTTAGGTAGGATTTTGTATTCGGTATTTTCTGGATTTTTGTCATTTTTTTCAAACGAATTGGCTGTAGTGGAATGTTTCGGTTTCCCATTAGGTAGGAAATCTTCCTACCAAATATTATCAATATTGGCCAAAGTTATAAGGTGGCGCCCAATATAACGGTAACGGCCATCATTCGGCATTTTTCTAATTTTGGGCACATTTTCAAACCAAATTGGCTGCAATTGAATATTATGTGTAATTTTTTTTCTATAGGAGAAATATGTCAAAAAAGCTTCCTTTATCAAAATTTTTTCACAAGGATGTTTTTAGCCCTTTTAGAACCGTAAATGCCAAATTACAGCCATTTCGTTGGGAAATGGGACTAAAACCTTTAAAATACCGAGACTGGTAGGGAAGTCTATATGGGCAGCTATATAAATACCTGATATGTTGTTGTTGTAGCAGCTTATACTGCTGTGTATTTTTCTATTTTCCTTAACCTGGTTCTGCCTCTAACTCCAAGTTCAGGAAGGCTGCGACCTGTATTGGTTGAGTCCAATATGAATTGAGGCGGCTACACCATCCAGATCTTAGTTGTGCCAAGGCCACTCTAGTTTATCGAGGTAGCTGCTGCCCTTTGCAGCTATCAAAGGCGTATGGTCTCCGAGGATGGTACTCACACGATATTCTTGAACTGCTTCCTCAACTGCGTCCGTGTGAATACGATTCAATCCTGCTTGATAGGCATGTTGATCTAGATGCTCCCTTTTGTACCTCTCTCCAGATCATTGAGATAATTCCTGACATGCCTGGGTGGTGGGTGCCTATCCATTAGGTAGCGGTTTGGATGGCTGCTCCTATAACACCCAAGTAGGTATTGCATCGACAACATTTTGTTGTGTTGACGCACAGGAAGGATCTTCGTCTCCTCATGTAAGTGGTATATTAGAGTTATGAGGAGACACCCTGTTGCAGTCCTCAGGGCGGCATTCTGGCAGGATTGAAGACTTTTCCACTGCGTTGCACTGACGTTAGCGGACCACAATAGTGCCGCATAGTTACCACAGGCCTATTGATGTATAAGTCGTTAACAAGGTTTCCTTGTCAGCAAGTGCTGCCGGCTAGGGACTTGAGAACCTTGTCTCTGCTCCTGACTTTATAGCAAATAGCTGCGACATGCGCGGACTACTTGTATAGACTATCGAATGTGACCCTTAGAACCTTGGGTTAATTAGTGGTCGGAATTGTGAACCCCTCGACTTGCACATCCAAAGATAGCCGCACCTCCGCTGTCCATGTGGTAAACAGTGTGGCCGTTGTCTTAGTGGCGGATATTTTCATAATCCTCGACCAGAAAAAGTCTGCGATATCCACGAGATAGTGGTTCAGCCTCTCGCAAATGTCATAAATTTTAGGTCCTGACGCCATAATCGTACAATCATCCGCATATGTTACGATCTCTATGCTGTACGGTGGGCGTGGAATTCCAGAGAGGTGGAGGTTAAACAGTTCCGGAGATATTACCCCTCCTTAGAGAACTCCCTGTTTAACTCTTCGGGCCTTCGATTTCCTGTCTCTGAATTCGTACGACTGGCGTCATCACATATAGTTCACGATCCAACGTTTCAAACTTGGCTGGAGAGTTGTTCTCTCGACGTCCTCGAACGGCATGGCGTGACCGACGGTATCAAATGCCTTTGATAGGTCTAGCGCCACCATGACTGTCCTGTTACACGGCCTGTTCTGGTTGAGTCCTTCTGCTATGTGTGTGGAAATGGCGTGCAAAGCTGTACAACTGATATGTCGTTAACAAGGGTGTCGTCACAAAAGATTCGACTGTACTTTTAATCTCTCTCTTTACTTATTTAGCTATATGAAATGTCTGTTTTCCTTGCATTTTTTTTATTATTCAATAATTTGAATGACAATATTTTAATATAAAACATAAAAAAATACAAAAAATCCTTTAAAATATTTTAAAAATCTATCCAAACTGATTGAATTACTTCTCGTGCTATTGAGGACGTATGCGTAATATTATTATTTCCATTCCTCATACGCCTCCGAAAAAATGCCTCTTTTTAACTACTGTGCATTTGTCAGATATCCACCCTACATTCATAACAATAACTACATCATCGCTCATCCCCTCAACCACAACAACATAAAGAAAGCAAACCCAAAACAACAAGAACTCTCGGAAATATGCCAAGCTACTACTACTACTTATAGAAGATTTTGTAAATAACCTAAAGAAATATGTGTCTCCATGGATTCGCAGCAAATTTGACAGTCATACAATACAATAATACGACAACAACAATAATAATAACAACAACAACGACCACAACATATCATCATAATAATAAATGAAACCAACCTCTTGAAAGAAAGCAAACAACAACAACAAGAAAAACACATGAATTATACCTGAATGTTCCTTAGGCGTCTCTTTTTTATTCACTAAATCTATTTCTCCCGTGGCCTCGCTCTCTATCTCCCGTTCACTCCCTCTCTCTCTCTCGCTCGCATTAATAAATCCTTAAAATAAACAAAAATTCTTTGCAAAAGAAAACACGATTGTGACAATAATAACAATAAGGCAGAGTCAACCAACTAAGGCACGATGGGGAGTAGAAGAAGAAGCACAGCAACACGAGTGGCAAGTAGTAAAGTTAATTTATAACACGAGAATAGATGACAACAAGCACGAGAGTCTCTGATGTGTGTTACAAATAGATGATGATGTTGTTGTTGCTATTCTTTAACATTTAATGGGAGTATAGAAAATATTTAGTGGCCTAGTCTTGATTATCATTACGAGGGGAGAGAGTGAGAGAGATTGTTACTCTACATTTAATGGGAATATAGAAAATATTTAGTGGCCTAGTCTTAATAATCAAATGGAGGGGAGAGTGGGAGAGACATTAATACTCTGTAATAATGGGAGTGTAGAAAATATTTAGTGGCTTAGTTTTGATAGTCATTTGGGTGGGAGTGGGGAATGTTACTCTACATTAATTGGGAGTATAGAGGTATTTGGTGCCCTAGTCTTAAAAAACATATGCATAAGAATGAGAGGCTGGAATTTTATGTGAAAACAAATACTAATCACAAACAGAGGGAGAGGGGGATACTGATGTTTGTATGTGTCTTGGGCCTAGCACATGGGGGCAAATGTCGACCAAAATTGGATTAAAACTGGTATTAATTGCATATTTTTCAAAAAAAAAATAAGTTGAATTTATTTTTGGTGAAAATGGGCTTATTTATATAAAGAAAATATTTTTATAAAAATAACGAACTGGGATTACGCCTGACTATTTTGCAAAAACAAAACAAAAAATGGAAAACATAAATTTTATATAAATAATGAAACGCCAAACAAGGTGAATTCTGATTCATCTATACTAATAAAAGAGTAAAGTTATTGACTGACTGATTTAACGATTCATCAACGCCCAGACGAAACGGCTGAAGATAGAATCTTGAAATTTTGGGTGAGGGTCACTCTTGATCCAAATGTGACAGATAAGGCTGGGTTTTTGGAAATTCGTACTAGAACGGTACGAAAAGTACAAAAAAATACTAAATGTGATACCATTTGTATTTGGCGAACCAGTGGAGCTAGAACTCTGAAATTTTTTTGGTGGTCGTTGATGGAGTGTAGGATAGATGTACCAAAGTTTTTGGAAATTCGAACTACAACTATCCGAAATGTACTAAATTTGGTACAATTCTGTAGCATGAAATTTGGAATGCGAATTAGGGTTGGGAAGTAGGATCGATATAAGGAGATGGTTTTGAAACCGAGTACTCATGTGTACGAAAAGTACTATATGGTACTATATTTGGTACACATTTATTTTGGAGGTACAAATAGAGCTGGAATCCTGAAAATTGATATTAACATTACAGTCGGAGTTTAGGATTGGGATATGTACGTAGTTTTGGAAATTTGTTACTACTGTGTACTAAATTTGGTACAATTTGAATTGTGGGTGAACCGATAGAGTTTGAATCCTGAAACATGGATTTAGGGTCACTGCGGGGGTGTATGATTGGGGTATGTAGGAAATTTTGGAAATTCGTATTACTGTGTACTAAATTCGGTACAATTTGAATTGTGGGTCAACCCATAAATTTGGAATCATGAAACTTCGATGTACAAAATTTTATACTATTTGGAATACTGAAATTGGGCAAATAAGCTTTTCATTGGATTATATGTAGTATATGGTAATGAAAAGCAATGGAAATGAAATCGGTTATAAGATTTCTGTTTGATGGTTGAGGTGGGTACTTATGGACATTTATATTAATGTGTGTTAAATGGAACTAAATTTGGTAAATTTCGAATTTAGGTGAACCTTTAGAGGTCGAATCATGAAGTTTGGTACTACTAAATTTGATACAAATTTGATTTAGGTGAACCGATAGAATTCTGAAATTAAGATAGGGGTATGTGGGAATTCGTACTTATGATTGTTAAAGTAGGTAGTTATGGAAATTTATATTATTGTGCACTAACTGATACTCAATTTGGATTTGGGTGAAGCTATATTTGATTTGAGTACAAGGA